TAGGGTTTGTGAATGTGGTTTGTTCTATGATCTTACTAGCATCATTCAGCGTTGGACATCGGATGTAGGAAGTCCTTGAACCAGGGCATAACAGGTTGGGGTTTATGTGACGACCATTGCTGTCACACAAGATAATTGTTTCTCCATTGTTTACTTTATTGGGTTGAGGTTGTTGGTCTTCAGAGTGGTCTAAGAGGGTGTTCTGTGATGACGACATTTCATCTCTTTGTATTTCATCCTCATCAGGTTGATTCAGGTTGTCTTCTAAGGTACCAAAACTGTTCGAAATGGGCACTGCTATGTTTGGTTGAATTTGGCTGGTCGTTTCTTCGTTTGTCTGAATATTTTCCTTATTTAGTGTTTGTAATTTTAGTAATAGATCAGTATTCTTTTTCTCTAAGGATTTGTGTTTGTTTTTTAATTTTTTAAGTTCATCTTCAATTTGTGATTGTTTTAAATTCAGGTCACATATTGACTGTTGTTGGCTTAGGTTGGTTGTCTTGAGTAGTGTTATTTCAGTTTTTAGATTATTGATTTCACCGTCTTTATCGTCGAGCTGAACTTTGAGGACATTGATGCTCATCTGGGTCGTTTGCTTAAAAAGAACAAAGTCAGCTTCAAGTGAGGCTAGGCTGCTTTTCATACTCGAAAACATTGGTTCATCATTTAAAGAGTTAGTATTGTCTGGTTCTGATATATCGTTGATGGCATGGGCATCTTTTTCCATAGTGCTCGGTTTTTGATTAATTGTTATTAGTTCAAAGAAAGTTTCTAGATTTTGGTTGGATTGGTTTGACAGGACTGGAATTAATAATTGCCAGGAGTCGCGGAAATTCTTTGTTGCCCCATTCTTTGTAGGACCTTCCGTGTACTTGAATTCTCCCATTATTTATCAGTGCTGTGATGGTGATGAGATTCTGATTAATCGAGTTTTTGGAGGAAGATAGATGGATTGTTCTCTTGACGCATTTCGTTGAGTCATCCTTGTTTTCATTTCATTCTCAGTGCACAGTGCAAAAAACAGCAAAAAAGTAAGCTATAGCCTTAAATTTTCGTCCATTTTTAGCGACTTTTGTCATTTTTCATAAATGGGCAAAAGACAGCAAAAAAAGTAAGGCTATAGCCTTAACTTTTCGTCCATTTTTATCAAATTTTGCCATTTTTCATAAGTGGGCAAAAAACAGAAGAAAAGTAAGGCTATAGCCTTAACTTTTCGTCCATTATTAGCGACTTTTTCCACTTTTCATAAGTGGGCGAAAAACAGAAAAAAGTAAGGATATAGCCTTAACCTTTCGTCCATTTTTAGCGACTTTTGCCATTTTTCATAAGTGGGCAAAAAACAGCAGAAAAGTAAGGCTATAGCCTTAGCTTTTCGTCTGTTATTAGCGACTTTATTCACTTTTCATAAGTGGGCAAAAACAGCAAAAATTAAGGCTATAGCCTTAAATTTTCGTCCATTTTTATCGACTTTTGCCATTTTTCATAAATGGAAAAAAACCCAGCAAAAAAGTAAGGCTATAGCCTTAATTTTCGTCCATTTTTAGCCGATTTGTCAATTTTTGAAAAAGGCAAAAAAACACAAAAAATATAAGGCTATAGCCTTTACTTTTCCTGATTTTTAGGCGATTTTTCAATTTTTGAAAACGAAAATTGGCAAAAAAGTAAAGCTATAGCATACTATACTTTTTCGTCATTTTTTTCGTGCCAAAAAGTAAAGGGTCAGTCCTTTAATTTGTGGCGACTTAATTTTTTTAAATAAAATTTGGTGATAAGAGATTATGTAGAAATTAGTATAGATACCACCACTGATTAGATCTTCTAGTCGAGTGGTAGTCTCCTGGTGTTGGGTGAGGGAGTACTACGGATCGGTCCCTGTTGTAGTCAAAACCATTTTAATGTCAGGCATCGTTGTTAATTAATTCCACCCGAGACGAGAATGAATTAAATAGAATAAAAAAAGAGTTAAAGCAAGTGTAGGCGAGATGGTCTAGTGGTAAGGACAAAGTGTTGTAAGTGCGTGTGGCCAGGTTCGATTCCTGGTTGTATCATAAGCATTTTAATGTCAGGCGCCGTCCTTAATTATTCCACCCGAGACGGGGAAAAGTTAAGTAGAATAAAAAGGGAGTTAAAGCAAGTGTAGGCGGGATGGTCTAGTGGTAAGAACAAAGTGTTTGCAAGTTTTTGAAGCCAGGATCGATTCCTGTTGTAATCAACGGGCATTTTGATGGAGGGAACCTTTTCCTGACGGTTCCTGAAGCTAGGACAAGGTTCCTGACGCTGAGGACAAGGTACCTGACGCTGAGGACAAGGTTCCTGACGCTAAGGACAAGGTTGCTGACGCTGAGAACAAGGTACGTCACGCTGAGAACAAGCTTCCTGACGCTGAGGACAAGGTACCTGACGCTGAGGACAAGGTACCTGATGCTGAGGACAAGGTTCCTGACGCTGAGGACAAGGTTCCTGACGCTGAGGATTTCGAACATTTAGTTCTATTCAATTTCAAGGCCCGTCGTAGCAAAAACTTGAATTGGTCTGAAAATTGTATTTTTGGAATCTACGTTCAATAGGCTTTCTGTCAATGCCTCATTTTTCCATAACAAGATAGTTCGCGAACATAAAAAGCAAGTTTTTTCAGCTGTGTAATCGAAAAAGATGTGAAAGTTAATATTATGCTGTTTCGAACCTTATGTCCTATTGATTTTGAAGGCTCCTGGAGCAGAGTTTTGAATTTGCGCCAGTCTCAAAATTGTATTTTTGGAATCAACGGTCAATAGGATTTTGGTCCATGCCTTATTCAGGCATCACCAGGCCGTACGTGGAGATAAAAAGCATGTTTTTCCAGCTGTGTAATCGAAAAAGACCTGAAAGTTAATATTATGCTATTTCGAACCTTTTGTTCTATTGAATTTCAAGGCCCCTTGCAGCAAAAACTTGAATAAGTCACGGTCTGAAAATTGTATTTTTGGAATCTACGTTCAACAGGCTTTCTGTCGATGCCTCATTCTTCCATAACAAGACAGTTCGTGAACATAAAAAGCAACTTATTTCAGCTGTGTAATCGAAAAGGACGTGAAAGTTAATATTATGCTGTTTCGGACCTTATGTCCTATTGAATTTGAAGCCTAATGTAGCAGAGTCTTGAATTTGGGCCAATCTCAAAATGGAATCTACGATCAATAGGCTTTCTGTCGATGCCTTATTCAGGCATCACTAGGCCGTAGGTGGAGATAAAAAGCAGGTTTTTCCAGCTGTGTAATCGAAAAAGACGTGAAAGCTAATATTATGCTATTTCGAACCCTTCGTTCTATTGAATTTGAAGGCCCTTGTAGCGAAAATGACGCTGAGGACAAGGTACCTCACGCTGACGACAAGGTTCCTGACGCTGACGACAAGGTTCCTGACGCTGAGCACAAGGATCCTCACGCTGAGGACAAGGTTCCTGACGCTGAGCACAAGGTTCCTGACGCTGAGGACAAGGTTCCTGACGCTGAGGCCAAGGTTCCTGACGCTGAGGACAAGGTTCCTCACGCTCAGGACAACGTACCTCACGATGAGAACAAGGTTCCTGACGCGGAGCACAAGGTACCTCACGCTGAGGACAAGGTTCCTGACGCTGAAGAAAAGGTTCCTTACGCTGAGGACAAGGTTCCTGACGCTGAGGATAAGGTTCCTGACGCTGAGGAATAAAAACTAATACTGGTAATCTTCCAATGAACTATCAATCCAACCCAGTATCACCAACATCTCAACCACACCTCACCCCAACCCCAAACCATGTGAGTCGTTTACCCAAATTAAACTTACCAACGTTTTCTGGAAACCCCTTGACTTGGAACACATTTTGGGACTCATTTAATGTAGCTGTAAATTCAAATCCGAATCTTGAAGGGGTACAAAAATTTAACTATCTAAGAGCCCAATTATCTGGAGATGCTGCCAGAGCTATAGCTGGATTCCCACTTACCAACAACAACTATAAACAAGCTGTAGACCTTCTCAAAACTAGATTTGGAGAACCCCAAAAGATTATTAATAATCACATGCAAGCTCTATTGAACTTACCCAACCCATCCAATGACCTAACTAACCTACAGCAATTCTATGATTCTATGGAAACCCATGTAAGGGGTCTTGCTTCCCTTGGTAAATCTCAGGAATCATATGGAGATCTTCTCGTCCCCATAATCCTTGGCAAACTACCCAATAATCTTAGACGAAACTTAGCTCGAGAACACAGTAACCCGGAATGGACATTCTCTCAATTAAGAGAATCCATTTATAAGGAAATTAAAATTCTGGAAGCAGGGATACCCAGTTTGGAAAATAGAATCACACCTGAAAATCATGCTTCTATCACATCATCATTCCTATCACACAATCGACATGAAACACCACCAAGATATGTTCCACCCATTCATCCTAAACCGAAGAAATGTGTTTATTGTAAGAAAGAACATTCATCTAATGAATGTCCTACAATCAAAGATTGTTCAAAACGTTGGGCAATTGTAAAGGAACAGAAACTTTGTTTCAATTGTTTGGGTCACCACAAATCCTCAGCATGCCTGTCAAAGTTTCGCTGTCGCTCATGTAAGGGAAAACACCATACCAGTCTCTGTAATGAAGGTCAGCCAAAACCTGAAATACCCTCACCAGCTGCAAACGTTACTGGGAACACCTCGGGTACTGTTGTCCACACCACTATGACCCCTATTGCCCCCCTGACTAATCCCACCCACACGGAAACCTTGCTCAAAACAGCCATAGCAACAGTTGGTAATCAGACCACCTACTGTGAAGCAAACATTCTCTTTGACGAAGGAGCACAAAGATCATTCATTACCAAAGATTTAGCAACCCGCTTGCAACTACAACCCACAGAAAGAGAATTTATCAGTGTATCTGGCTTTGGTGCTCAAACTTCAGCTGCAAGGTCCCTCGAGTCCACCGTCATCAACCTTAAGACCATTACCAATGATGAAATCCCACTACGCGTACTAATTGTTGAACGAATAGCAACACCACTTCAACTTCGTTCACATCACCATATCAACAACATCCCACATCTGAAGAACCTTCAACTTGCACACCCTGTAACAAATGATGAGAATTTTGAAATTTCCCTCCTTGTTGGAGCCGACCAATACTGGGACATCATCGAAGACCAAGTCATCCGTGGAAATGGGCCTACTGCCATGAAATCCAAAGTTGGTTATCGACTATCAGGCCCGCTAAAAACTGACCAACCAGTACATTCGATTGCAAATTTTCTCCAGATATTCTCAGATGAATACAACCTACAACGATTTTGGTCTCTAGAGTCATTGGGAATAACACCACCAACTGAAAATGATCCTCATAAACAATTTCTCGAACAGTATCAACAATCATTCATCAGCCGTGACACGAATGGCAGTTACATAACAGGATTTCCGTGGAAACCAGAACACCCACCTCTCCAATCTAACTATACACGGTATGCGAAAGGAGAACAAGATCGATGGCACGTCGCCTCAAACAAACACCGGAACTACTCCAGACATATAGTAATATCATCACCGAGTATGAAAGTTGTGGATTTATAGAGAAAGTTCAAACAACTCAACACTCAGATAAAGCTCATTATATTCCCGAACAAACGATAAAGAAAGATGAACTAGTTATGGTCCACGATGATAAACCCAGAAACACATGGAAATTAGCAATCATAGAAGAACTTATTCGAGGAAACGATGGATTAGTGCGAGCCGCAAACATCCGCACAAAAAATGGTCGCACGAACAGACCAATCACCAAATTATACCCGTTAGAGATCTCCGCAGAAATTATCAAAGAACAACAGAAACAATCGAATGGCGCGGAAGAAACCGACACGCGAACAGTTGCTGAAAACAATTCTTCACGACCAAAGAGAGCGGCGGCTCTAAGAGCAAGAAACAAAATTTCAAAATGGGTCGAAGAACTTTCCCCGGCCCCGGAGGATGTTGAATAATGCTAGATTAGATTACTAACTTTAAACCTATCTTTATCTTTAAAGTAGATCATTAACATTCATATATCTAGGCTAGTTTTGGATTAGCTGTGCCTCGGTCACATGACAGTTGTTTTGGCGCACTTTTATAGTTTTAGAAAAACTCGAAACACAACGCTTTGTAATAGTTTTATACACAATAATATTCAACCAAACAAACCTGGTCCTCGTCTTTTACGACACCACAGCCATAGTTCCTATTTTTCCATACGAATCAATAACATTTGATGTTCGCTTCTAGGTTCTCTTGTGATTTTTGGCTGTTGTTTTCTTTCAAATTTATGTCAAATTCGAAAAATTATACTTCCATTCCATAGTTGTCTTGATTCTTCTCGGAATAACCTTTATATTGACGTTAAAATCTCAGTAAAATACTGTTTTTCGCTTCTGGATAAACACCATCGCTACGTTGTCATTTTTTCCACACAAAAACGGGAGAAAAACCGGTCGCTTTTATAATATACTCGTTTACCGCTTTCGTTGTGGGCACAAAGTCTTAAAATACACACAAAAATCGTTATAAATCGCAAAGAGCAACAAGAAACAAGCCGTTAAAGTCGACACAATAGCATCTGAATTTGGCTTGTCAAGCAGTTTTCGCTTGTTTTCCCGCGTTTTGTTCCCGTATCCTAGGATACGAGGCCTCGTCACGATTTATGAATAAGGTCTTACTAAAGTTGCATGAGTTTGAGTGCGTTTTTCTGTACTTTCAACTCAAGTGCATAATTTGAATGAAGTATCGTAGGAAAGTACATATAAAATTGTATTATCTATGAACGTTTGAAAGAATCGGACAGAATAGGGGCTGAGGTACGATTAGTTTTGTATTCCCGACTTTTCCAATTAATTTAAGAAAATCCATTTTTATGTTTTGATGAAAAAATGAAATTTTTGCCCTTATGCTGCTTGGAGCTATAAGTTTAATAGCTCAAATTAAAGATAAATTCGTTCTACGTATTTCTATCGTGTTTTTGTTGCATTGAGATGTTTATTGTGAGAGAAAATAGCACTTTGATAGTTTTGTCGTTTTGAGTGATTGAAATTAGCCATTGGCAATTTTTTGAATGTGTTTTTGAACGTAGTGGTGAATGTGTAGTTGAATACGGTGCCAATTTCACACTGGTTGGCAATTGGTATTGGAATGCCGATGGCAGCAATTGCAAAGCTAGTCAGTATGCAAAATATGAGCACAGTCGCTTCAAGTATCATATTCAAGCGTATATCTTCAAGATTTTTGCACATGGGTGAATATTTTAGTCGCGGAATTCTGAATGATATTGAGCTTCAGACCGCAGTACCCTTGGCTGGACGAAAACATTTGGTCAGTTCAAACTCGCCTGGCTTTCCAAAGTATCTGTCAGGCCCGAAAGATGATTTCCCAATGCTGGTTAAAGCGAGGAAAGGGCAAGAGACTAGTATGAAACACTGGGCTTTAAGATCTCGAGAGATTATTGATCAAGCATATCAAAGGTATGTCAGCTATGCGTCGCAGCTAGTCTAGCTTCGTAAACAAATATTTTTATTCGCGAGTTTTCTGCTATCAGACTGTAGCCTTCAAGACGTAAAAGAAATACCTTTACAGCGACTTGTTTAATATATACTGATGATTCGCTGGGCGATTGTATAGACGGGTAAACATTGTTTTGATTCTGCGCCCAAAATGCGCAACGTACTTTGCCTGCCGGATATATGCTACCACATGCTAAATTTTAATGGCTTAGCACGCTTGACTAGTACGTGCTGTTACAGTAGCTAAGAATACGTCGTGTCGTGCAGTTTGGACATTTGGTTTGAAATCAAGTGATTTATACAAAATAGAAAATAGGCAATTCCAGCTTTTAATTTACGAAGTGGCTATTCGTACTGGAACAGTACGCGGAGTTTGATTTGCTATTCGTACTGCAGTCGGAATATTTCTTGTCGGGAAAATATTTGTTTCTATCGATTTTTATAACCCTACCGTTATAAAGGGACAGTGAGCGATTGCGATGGACGTTATTTTCGTTCCTGAAATCGATCTTTGAATCCTCGGCTTACTGTGTGGACATGACACTTTTAACACCTTGTCCACCATACTTACCCCTTTGGTTGGTTAGGTGTTAGCTCAGCTGACCGAGGGGGGTGACCTGGACGGACTCCTGTTACTTGGACTCAGATTAAGATCCGTGACAATGGCATCTTGAGCTGCCACCCAAGGGTGATGAGTAGGGACCACCCCATCTTGCACGCTGGGAAACAAACGACAGTATAATAATGCACATTAATTCAGCATAATAAGGCGCATTAATTCCAGACGTCATTCCAGCCGATATGGTAAGACACGCATAATAAGGCACATTAACTCCAGACGTTGTTGCCAGCCGATATGGTAAGACAAGCATAATAAGGCACATTAATTCCAGACGTCATTACCAGCCGATATGGTAAGACAAGCATAATAAGGCACATTAAAATCCGGAGGTCATTACCAGCCAATATGGTAAGACAAGCATCATAAGTCACATTAATTCCAGACGTCATTACCAGCCGTTATGGTAAGACAAGCATAATAAGGCACATTAAGTTCCGGAGGTCATTACCAGCCGGTATGGTAAGACAAGCATAATAAGTCACATTAATTCCAGACGTCATTACCAGCCGATATGGTAAGACAAGC